CTGCTGAAATAGTCCCAGAAAATATCAGCCAATGAAATACTTCATCAAAGAGATACAAAGCATATTCAGGCAAGTAATACTAAAAGTTCTTCCATTCACTTAACCCCCTCCCCCAACCTGACCTTGAATCAAACTTACTCATAAACCCCCTCCATCTTTAATATAACTAAATTGTGTTCTGCTTCAGAAAAGGAGGGGGAAGGTGACAAAGGGTATATGAGGGGCTTTTGCTTCATTCTACTAAGAAAAGCAGTTTTTTACAGTTTTAAAAAGCCCCAAACACTATGCCTCTCTACCAGAGTAAGAAATACCAATTTTATTTAATTTTTAAATCCATCTTCCTTTGGGAGAATAAAATAATAAAAATTATGCTTATATTTTTAAAGAAATTTGAAATTCTATGCTTTTGAAAACTTGGTCCTGTGTTGGGATGCAGCAGGTACCACAAAGAATGAATAATGTATCTACATTAGTTAAGAAAATAAATCCTAATGTAACTTTACAGTGCCCTCTAGTGAACATATCCAGATACACAACCAAAAAGGGAAAAGGCCACCAACATTTATTAGAAACAGTCATGAAGTCATTAAGGCCATTACCAATCTTGGGAGCGCCATGCCAGTAACTGAACACACAAGTTTGACTGTTTGTCCATAATGGATGTATCCATCGCGGACTGTGAATTCTTCTCCTTCTGATTCATCGTCATCCACTGCAGTGCAATGGAAACAGATCAAATTATCATCTTTTAGAACTTATTAATCTGCTTATAAAAATGACAAAACTTAATATATCTGTATGTCTTATTAGTAAAAAGAATTTAACAATTTCACACAAAAAAAAATCAAATGCATATTTTTATACTCACAGAGATGAATGTAAAATGCTCCCCACTGCTGAGAACTGGCATGGAAATTACCTCCTTCTACATGCAAGTATCTGGTACTAACTGTCTGGGATCGAAGTCGATTAAACAGAGCCACCTTTGTTCCTGAGGCAATGCATACTGCAAAGAAAACACAGTTCCTATTTATGTGAGTGGGGTTTGGGGGCAGGGCAACAGTGGAGAGCAAGAAGGGACCAGTACCCGGTGAATCAGGACTATGCTTTACTATCATTTAATAATTAATGGATTCTGCTAACAATTTTTTTAACCCTCTAAGAAAATACAGATGATACCCCCCAAAAATCAAGGTAACTCTTTATCAATAATGTCAAGCTAAAGATATATAATATGTCCATAAAAATCTTTTTTTTTTTTTTTTGCGGTACGCGGGCCTCTCACTGTTGCGGCCTCTCCCGTTGCGGAGCACAGGCTCCGGACACGCAGGCTCAGCGGCCATGGCTCACGGGCCCAGCTGCTCTGCGGCGTGTGGGATCTTCCCGGACCGGGGCACAAACCCGTGTCCCCTGCATCGGCAGGTGGACTCTCAACCACTGGGCCACCAGGGAAGCCCCATAAAAATCTTTTTTAAATGAGAGTTACACAGTATGTTTAATGCTGTGCTGTTTTTTAAAAGGAAGTTACTTTCAAAATAATAAGTGTCCAACAGCAGGAAATTGATTAAATAAATTATAATATCATTCACCTATTTGAATAATGTGTATTTAAATGCATTGGTAAGAAAATATCTCCCTGATATATCACTGAATGGAAAGCACATTCTTTATACTGTGGTTTCATTAGGTAAACATATACATTTTTACGTGACAGCATGTGTCTCCATGTGCTCGCATCTATTTCTATGGAATACATTCATAGAGAGGGGTGTGGAAGGATGTTTACCAAAGTTGATGGCAACTGCCTCTGGATACTGTGATTTTAGAGATTTTGCTTCCTTCTAAATACCTTATAGTATAGCATTGCATGAAATTTCTTGAAAAAACAACCACACCTATGTAAGCAAGAAAATACTCTGAAAATGAAATATGTTCTCTGCCATCAAGTAACTAAGAGTCAATAGAAATATAAAATTAAAGAGGTAATCCTGTAATTTGAATTGGAAACAGCCTAAATACATGACATTATACCTCCTGATGCAAGAACACTACATCGCTGTGAAGTAGGCTTGCGCTCCAGTAACAAACAACAAAAAAGAACCAAGGAACAACCACCTTAAATCTGATCAAGTTTCTAAATTTACTGACACAGACTCTCTCCTTGACCAAACTTTAGACAGGCTCCTCTGAGCCCTTTTTCCACCGGGACTCTTCCTTGGGCCCTGGCATTGGCCTGTCTAGCCCGGTTATTGCCAAGAATCCTGCTAAACCATCCTCCCATCCTTGATATCTGTTCAAGTTCCTCCCCTCCACCTTTATTTCTGATCATCTAGGCCTGTCTTCATAAAAATTCTGGTAAGCTAGTTTGTCAAGAATTCCCCTTCCCTTCATGTCTCTCTCCTCTTAGTAACTTTCCATCCACTGATCCCCTCAACTCTGTTCCTTGGCTATAAATCCCCACTTCTCCTTGTTGTATGTGGAGTTGAGCTCAGTTCTTTACTGAAATCCCTTTTCCCTACTGCAACAGTAGTGAATAAAATCTGTTTCTAACCACCTTTAGTGTCCAGCTCTGTTTCTCTCTGACACTACAATTTACAGAAAATACATTAAACTACACCAAGGAAATATAATTAGCAAATTCCAGTATGTGGAAATCTCTCATGGTCAACTGACTCAGTCTCTTGAGTAAATAAACTACAAGGAGAGAGAAAGAGAGAGATGTAGAGAAAATCCACAGATTAAAAAAGACTCAAAGACATGTCAACACAATATATAGAATAATATCTGGTGGATCTTATTTGAATTTTGATTCAACCAAAGGGCTAAAAAAAAAACCCCCACATTTTAGATAATTTTAAATTTGAGCACTAGCTAGGTATTTAGCGATACTAAGAAACTATCTTTTTATAGTTGTTTTATGCTTATTTTTATGTGATCATGGTATTGTAATTATATTAGAAAACAAGAGACCCTATCTTTCAGAGATACACAGAAATATTTACAGATATAGTGTCTTGGATTTGCATCAAACTAAAATGAGGGCAGAGGAAAGTGTGTGTGTGGGGGTAGGGTTACAGATGAAGATAAATCAAGACTGGCTTGAAGTTAAGATCACTGCTGCAAGTTAGAGGATGAACACAAGAGGTTTCATGTCATTAATGCAACTGTCTACTTTAGTATGTTTGAAAATTTCCATAATATAAAGTAAATGATGATGATAATAATGACCAAGCAGACTAAAAACCATCCACTACATAAAATCCCATTAAGTTCATAATAAAACAAAACAAAATAAAAACAAGCAAATAAACCAAAATCCTAAAACCTCACTGGTCACCTTCAAAGAATACTATTGTTATTCTGCAAATTAGTAAATAAGAACTTATCCTGGCTTTTCTCCATAGACTATACTTAAACAGCTAACAAATGCAAAAGTTAAGAATAAAAGAATTAGAAAAATCATCATTTTGCAGCCCTTAATGAAATACTAGATTTAAGCAGCCATCATGAAGGGCTACTAAAATCATTAGGTTAAAGGTCGCTGAGGAACTTTATAACTGGTGGATTAGACTAACAACAGCTCAAATTACTATAACCAATCTTAACATAACAAGAAGTGGGATAACCAGATATTACATGGCTTCTGATCTGATAGAAATGAACATACATGGGAACAGCTACTTCTAAAATAAAAGTTTAACCAACAGTTTGTAGAAAATATGAGAGACAGAGGAACACGTAATCAGCCAGATCCAGAATATGGAAATTCCACAGGAAAAATGACCCAGTTTCAACAAATAAATAACACAGAAGGAAAAACAGGCTGGTGGAAAGAGAAGAAACTATTACAGATTAAAATGTATGAACCTTGCTTGGATCCAAGTTTGAACAAGCCAACTGTTAAAAACAACAATACAACTGTAAAAAGATATTTCTAAGACAATGTGATAAATCTGCACACGGATTGGCCATTAGATAGCATTAACGAACTACCATCAACTGTTTTTGGGTATAATGATGTTTAAAAGAAAATTATCTGTTAGAGAGTCACTACTGCAGAAATGGTTGAAAGGATAGGGTGTCTGAGATTTACATTAAAAAATTCCAGCAGTTGGAGGAGGAAGGGGTGATGGTGATAGAGATGATAAAACAGAATTGGTAAAACCTGTTGAGGCCAGGTGGTCACCTTATACTACTTTCTCCCTTTTATGTAAGTTTTCATAATAAAAAGTTAAAATAAAGAAAACTGGGTACACAGGTTGAAGTGTAAAGTTCAAACAGCATTTATCTGCTATAGTCTAAAAATGTGCTGTGAGGCAGCAGTCTCTGCCAGTGCAACTACATTAAAATTTTTGTTCAGGTTCTCAGGACAGCCTTCCAAACCCCATTTGATGTAACAGTGTTTCTCAAAGGGGTGCTTTTGATATTCTAAGTGAATCAATTCTTTGTGGAATGGGAACCTTCTTGGGCACTGCAGGACATTTAGACACCCTAATCCTAACATTAAGCCCTCCAGTCACTGTGACAGCAAAAGGAAACTCCCATTTCTCCAAATGACTCTGGGTGGCAGTGATGAACCAATTCTGTTTAAAAACCACTTCCCTACTCCAGG